CATGAGAGAACAGAGGAGATGTAGGTCAAAATATTCCAACTGCAAACCACGTTTTCGATTCTCGCAAGATTTGCAGGTTTCCTTGAGTGCCAAGCATTTGTACTGGATCGGGTCCAGGTCCTTTGTCATCAGCAAAGAACGACTCAAAGACACCTGGCTGCGGTTCACATCTTTTATATGATTCCGGCAGAACTAGTTCATAGTAGCCGGTGCAGTGGCGTTCCTTTGTTTCTTCTTCATATTATAATCATCTTAAGTACTCGAAGATCTTAAAGTGAACCCTGAGTCCCTTGCGCACTCGCTTATAACTTCTCGGGCGCTTCCATGCTGTCCTTGGTGCGTCTTTTGATATTCGTCACAAGTTCTGCTATTCCCACAGCCGTTGCTGCATATCAATATTCATGACACCAAAATTTCTCTGTTCCGTCAGCGTTATTCATGTCAAAGACATAGCAAAAGCCCTCTGATGGAATTTTCTCCCGCTCTCGTTTTGAAATCGGCATTGCGAACATCTTCGATGCACTCAATGGCTCACTCTTCCCGTACTTCAATGCAAGTCACGTGCTTAACATAAACAGCGATGGAAACGTGATAGTGGAATTGATCTTCCCAGATGGTGTCTGTTTACAATGGCTACAATTTTACTGCGCCTTGAATTAATGACTTGCCCAGATATAAGAGGAACCAGATGAAACATAAATATTGAAAATGCATAAAATTGACGGTGAATTCGTATTTTGTTCTCACTGAAACGTTTAGTACTGTACTCAGAGAGCTATTCATTAATATGTAAATAATGAACATCTGCTGACAGGCAGTCAAATACGCGACCTCATGAAATGCGCTGAATTAGTTATCGCAGGTAGAAAATGGAGTCATAAAATTAAACACGAAATCTTAGAAATTGATTAATTTGACAGCTGTTTCACATTGTGCTCACAGACAGCTTCGCATAGATTTGTAACACTGTGGGTTCGATATTAAAATTGAGTAATATTTACGACGCCATATAAACAACGATGCTTTGTCTATCAGCTCGTTGCTCTTCCATGAAAAGTTGAGTTTAAACCAAATTATATTCACAAATTTAAATTTGGTGAAATAATTGGGCAATCTGACAGAGATTTTGGTATTGTACTCACTGAGAGATATTAATATATAAATACTGAACATCTGCCGATGGACGAAATCTGAGAATCTTGGTAATTCATTAGTTTGACAGATGTTTCACTCTGTGTTCACGGAGAGCTTCTCACAGGTATAAAACTTGCTGTGTTGGACGCTACAATTGATCGAGGTAATCCAAGTCCAATTATATAGGATCAAACGCGTGCAGTCCAATTATATAGGACTACACGTTGACAACGATTATCGACCGGCGCTGAAACGGCTCGCGCCGATTCATCCCATTCCGTTTAGCCGTCGTTCTCTGACCATCTTACATGCAACATGTTTCATTCCGTTTAACACCACTAATCTGATCGAGGCAAAGTACGGGCCAATCTGTGCGTAAACAGTTATTCATTTCTCAGCCCAAATATTTGGAAGGTTACCAAAATCATTGAGAGGGGCCCTGTGATTTAGCTTTATAGATGGCGCCGTCGCTGGAGGTGATGGAACCCAGACACCTAAATTTGTTAACCTTTTGAACTGTTCAATTCTATGTTGCACCAGTAGATCATCCAGGATGGAGGGGTTCTTCATAACATTTTAGTTCTGAGCGTCAAAGAAGAGACCTACTTTCACAGCTGCGTTGCATACGAAAACCCTCCAGTGACAGAACTCGTTCTGTGCACCACTCAACAGAACATCATCTGAGTACTCAAGATCTGCAAGGCATCTAGCCTGATGTCTTGACCTGAGTTTTCCTACGCCTTCGGTAAGGATTGCTAGCATTGCTCTAAGGAAAAATGTCTGGAACAATGCTGAATAGCATATGCAAAAGCACAACTCAATGGCGAACTCAACAACAAATAGGAAGATATTCAAATCGCGCTCTTTCAACCTTGACGATAGGTTGACATGGTTCTTTCATGCATCTATTTCAACATGGAAACGATGTGTTTACATATCTGATAACATTTTAAGATTTTCCACATCGTCAGACGGTGTACCGAATCGAATTCAATCAAACGCAGCCTTAAAGTCAAAGAAACTGAAAAACCAAAGCAAT